AGGAGGTCAGGGGCTTCTGCTCTCCAGATTACTGGCATAATTGGCCATCTACTTTAGAAGCCTTCCAGTTTCGTAAGTCGCGTTGATGACTCCTCTTGTCTTTCTTTTAGGAATACTTTATTTTTTTCCCCAAATATTGAGACTCCTAATTTTTTCTTTTCCCTCTTAAAATACTTAAAAGTATTTATTGAGGAAGACTTTTTACTTTTTTCTTTTTTAACTGATAAGGTTTTTTTTGTTTTGTTTTGTTTTTTAAAGAGAGATTTTTGGTACAGAGTGTGTGTGCTTGCTGGAGAGACAGAAAGCGAGAAATCACCCCCAGGGGGAATGGCCATGTCACAGTCCCTTCTCCTTCATTCTCCTTTTGGGATCTTGGGCATGCATGTACTTGCACCCAGCGTGAGTTTTAAGTCGCTGGGTCTGAGACTTGAAGTTAGCTACATGGGAGTCCAGCAACATAACCATTTCGCCACCTGCTGGGTCCCTAACTGACAAGTTTTAAACTTAACCCAGGTGTGTCATCCCATGTGACACTAGCACCTTACTGCTCATGCATACAATCCAGAAGCTGCCATTCGGTGCAACTCACAGGCTCCCTGAATCCCATGCTTTCTGCTTGCTGGCCGTGCGTAGTTTAGCTCTTCATCTTTTGGGTCTGTCCCATCCACTCTAGGTGGCTTGTTGTTGACACCATCAAATCTAGAGCGCAACAGCTTTGTCTTAGTGTCATTCTTCCTTTAACATATATGCTTGCCCATGTGTAAGCCAGCTGATGGGTGGCTCTGTGCGACTGCTCTGCTGTCAGGAGGCCTCTTCCTCATAGCCTCTCTAGCCCTGAGACTAGCTCTCACCTGTGCTGTCTATTCAAATAGCCACTGCTTTTCTTCATTCCTCTTCTTTCTTTTGGCTATAGGTATCCTGCCCTGTGGCCTCCCATGACCTGTAGCTTTCCCTTCTTGGCATTTCTCATGGTTTTCTTTGCTGCTGTACCTTCTGCCTACATCTTACTACCTGTCCTGAGTGAGCCCTGCAGGGTCATGGACTGAGGGTCTCCTACACTGCTGGGCTGCACAGCGTCTCTTAACAAATGAGCTTCCTCTGTTCTACATGGTCTTCCCTCTTCCTCCTGCATGCTAAATCTCATTTGCTCATGGACTCTTCATGAAGCCGAGGGCCCTGCTCAGGTAGCCAGGCTCTCTGCTTTTTTTGGTTTATCCCCTGAACCCTTTGTTCACCATCAGACCACCCCACAACGTAATCCCGGCTTGGGGCAGCTCATTCTGTTGGCTGCTGCCTTGCTGATGTGGTCTTGCCTTGCCCAGCATGACTGATTACCAGCTACGTGGGTGGAGGCTGTGACCTACTCTGCTTCTAAATTAGCAGCTTGCAGACTCTTTTGGAATGACCCTCGGTTAGACAGTTTGAATCTCAAGGCACAGATGAAGGTCTAGGTATAGGACTGAAGCAAACTGCCCCTACTTTGTTCACTCTTATTATATTTTTTATTGGTTTGCTAAAACAAAACAAGACAAAACAAAACATAAGAATGCTGTCATGACCAATTAAACCGATTTGCCACTAGAACTTTGAAGAACCTTGTTCTAAATCTCTTCTAGGGCTGTCTGTGAAGGCCTCTGCCTCAGACATTTGACAGGATGATTTGTTCTACCAGTTAGCCCACAGGGTTTTTGATGAGCATAGCAGTGATGGGCATTGTTAGTGGATTTAAACTCCAGAGTTCAAGCTTGGTCCCGTGAAGAGTTGTAACTTTGGAATGATACATTGGATGGAAGCAGGTTCCACACGGATATTTGCCTGACACACCCGGAGGACTCAGTGTCTCAGTAGGCAGCCAGCTATGGTAGGCATATTATCTCATTTAGCCTTTGCAGTGGTCTTCACAACAGCTACCGTTTATAACTGAGGAAACTTGAGTCCGAGAAACAAGCAAGATGATTTGTCAAAGGTCAAAAACTGGACTTAAAATTCACTGTTTGCTTCTGTTAGTTCTTGCCACATTCGTGCTGATGCTAATGTCAATAATTTGCAACTAATGTTTTTCCAAGGGCTTTTTACCCCCCATTAAGGTTCCTAGAGTGAATAGTCCATGTTTATTTCTAAAATTGGTTTGTCTGGCTTGGACAGTGAGCTGGGTGTTGACACGTCCGGCTAGCCATGGGAGAAAACTAGGCTTGGAGTAGGACCTATGACCAAGTCCAGTGCCGTTTGGATTCTGAAATAATGCTTAGTGTTTTGAAAAGGCTTTGCCTAGGATTTCAAGTATGGAGAAGTCAGGCATCCTTTACCAGTTCTATTTATTTATTAGAAAATGTATTTTGCCTTCTTTATGATTTATTTTTTGAGGTTTTTGCCATAGGACATACGTGTTCGCCAGAGAGAGGCACTGAGAAGGAAAGTGAGAAGTCACACCCCATGGGGGATGGCCTCACCACAATTCCTTTTCTTCCATTCTCGTCCTGGGATTTTAGGCACACATGCACATGCACCCAGCGTGCTTTTCAAGTCACCAGGTCTGGGACTTAAACCTTGGCTGGCCATATGGGGTCTGGTGCCTTAACCACCGTGTCATCTGTTGGCCCTTTATTTTTTTAATTATGCAGTGCTCTACATGACTAAAGCAAGTATTTGACCATGTGTCTTCACTAACTCTGCACTTTATTCTGTAGTACGGGTTTCTGTATTGTTGAGAGCTTTATTTAGACTGAATATGAATGATGAAATTCTTTCCGGTTCTTGTCTGTGAGTGGTTGCCATGAATTTTGTGTTGAGAGTGTGGCAGCAGAACCGGAATGCTTGGCTTCTGGTCAGCTTCTCCACTTACCCACTGGGTGAGTCACTGATGTCTCTGGGCCACCACGTTCCCATCTGTGGCTTGGGGATAATGGCAGGCCCCGCCGCCCCAGAGGGCTGCTGTAAAGGTTAAAGTGAGTTAAGTAACTCAGTGTGTGTAAAACCCTTGATAAGCACTTGGTTCATTAATGTCAGTCGTCCCTGTGCTTGCCGTTGGTCATGGTAAGACGCCATCACTGAAGAGACATTTACTTTCCGGTGCCCCTGCTCTCCGTATCTGTGCTGTCTGCAGACTTTGCAGGGCTTCCCGCTGGTTGGCACTAGAGCATGTGCCGTACGCTGTTGTTGCAGGTCTGCTGGGGAAGAGTGATGGCGTGGACCAACAGGGGCCATCCTTTATCAGTCAGCTGCTCCACAGCAAAGCCTGCACTAAGTGCTTCACGGACATCGCCCGTTCCTTACAGTAGCCAGTAGCCGTCTCTGGTGGGTTCTCTTCCTCACTTCGCAGATGTAGAAATAAGGGTCAGGAATTCAGCGTGAGTCCTTGCCCAGGCTCACAGCTGGTGGTTGGTGGATCTGAGTTTGCTCCCACATCTGACTGGCCCCAGTGGCCAACCTGACCCAATGTAGGCCTCAGCCTTTTCCCTCTAAACCTGCATACGTGCTTGACTATACTCAAAATGAGCTTGCCTGCTCAGAATGGCAGAGTGGAAGGAGCCCCGCAGGTCCAGTCTCTTGCCGGCTGTGGACTTTTGGGCAAACCTGTTAGCCTGTCTGTAAGATGTGGTCACTACGATGTTACGAAGATAAGTGAGACGGTCATTACAGGTTACATAACAGCAGTGGAAATGGGTATCCAGAGTCTGAGAGCTTTGGGCGTAATATCTTTACTTTGACATAGTTCACTACATCAGGCTCAGCAGCAGGTAAGCAGCACCTTAGGGGGTATTTGTTACTAAGTTTTGTTAAAATGCAACACGCCTCAATCTTTCTCAACACAAAGCTTTTGGTAGCTATCCCGTGAAAGCTGTTGACCTCCAGGTGCGAGACGTAATGGCCTCCCTGAGGCTGGTGCTGGGCAGCAGCATGTACCTGGCACAGTGGGCACTCAGATGTTGGAGTCCGTGAACGAGTGGCTCTGTTTCCTCGTTTTGTTTGTTTGTTTGTTTGTTTCAATGGAAGTAACGTCAGCATTTTATTGGAACCCTTTCAGTCGGAGTAAATGGCATTAGCGTGTCTGACTTTGAATATCTGCAGGTATAGGAACTGCCCCACCCAGCCACTTGGTGCATGCATACCCTTCCCATAGCTTGTGCATTGGCAGGAAATAACTTCTCCTTTCTACTTTTTAGTAGTCCTTGTAGGCCTTTCTGGTGGAGAGAATAATTGTTTGCCCAGCAGTTTTACCAGTAACATCCCTCTTAACAGCTAGTGTCAATAAACTTCATGTAGCTATTAATCACCACCTCTTGACAGTGCTTCTCTTGTTACCTAGGATGGTTACCCAAACCCTAGGTTAACTCTACGTTTGTTTGTCCTGTCTTCACAACTAGATTATCGTCTCAGGACGGTCCCGAGAGCCTTGTCAGTAATGGGCAACAAGGAAATACCGGTTTGGGTTTTGCAGAGAGCAAAGTGTACACATACACACATTACCTCAGAAGCTTGGCTCTCCTGGCTTCTCACTAGGTGTTTGGAATGTGGGTCACCAGGTGTGACTAAGCTTTTGTGATCACAATCCCACGGAAGAAATTGGTGACCGGTAGTGTGGAGGCTGCTCTTAAATTTCTAGGGCATGGCACAATTATTTACATAACAATTTGCTGTGATGGCCTCCGTGCAGCCATTGAAATAATCAGTTAAAATTGACAGTGTCCAGAAGACAGAGGGCACATCTGTTACCCCGAAGATGCATAGCGGACTCGAAGTGCTGTTTGCAGCCCCCATCGGGCTGCTCTGATGATCTGATCCTCCATAACTTCCCAACCAACGAGGAAAGTGCATAGAAAGCACCAGCCACAGCTGCAGAGCCACGGGACCCCATTTCGGTGGTTTTTCTGCAGCAGAAAGATTTTCAGTGCGTCATCCTCAAAATGAACTCATTACAAAACAACTCTCTCCCTTTCAGAAGGACTTCGTAATTCCAGGATTGACCAGGTCCGGAGTCATCTCTGGTCTCTTTGTCCTAGGAATATGAAGACAAGGCTGGGAGATCTAGCAAGCCACCTTCTCCGAAGCAGAATGTGAGGAAAAACCTTGATTTTGAGCCACTTTCCACCACTGCACTCATCCTTGAGGACAGACCAGCGTGAGTGTTGAGAAGAATCTCTGTAGAGTGTTTAGACAGCTTGCTAACCGCCTTTTCACTAGAAAAGAACTAAAGATTGGGAGAGAAAGAGGAGTAAGCCATTGTCACTTATTCCCTGTGTTAGCATGCGTTCTGTAGTAATATTAACCGCCTGATCTAGAAAACTATCCTTCAGCATAGAAGTTTTGATCAGGATCTTCCATTCCTGATTTTCATTTTTTTTTAAGAACTATTTGATTTAACTTTATTTGTTTATTTATTTATTTAAATTTAACCAGAGAAAGAGAGAGAGAAAGCCGCCAGGTCCTGGACTCAAACCGCTGTCAGCCATGTGGGAGTCCAGTGCCCTTAATCACCACTGTCTGCTGATTCCCCCATTCCTGATTTTTCTTACTTAACATTTAAATAACCAATTATACTCTAAAATGGGTGTTTTGGGTATTATTCCTGGGCTGGCCTACTGGGTTCTTTGCAATCTGCACTCAGCAGACTGCAGGTGATCTTAGGCAGGTCTCTACCTCTCTGTGTGATGAGAAGCTTGTGTTTGGAGACCTTGGTGAGGTACAAGGGGTAGCTCCAGCGTACTGAGTCCCTTAAACACTAAGGTCCATGCTATCTCTAAAATTTAAAATTGGTGAAATATGAAGAAGAAATGTATTTTCAACTGTTGATTATTTTTCCTTGAAAATGGTGGCTGTATAGGAGAGAGAAACCCTGAAGTGGAGGTTCGAAAAGTTAGATTGTGGTAAAAGTCTTTACAAGGTGGGGCCAGCAGGTGGCGTGGTGGTTACAGTGCTGGACTCCCACATGGTCGACCCTGATTTGAGCTCCAGACCCAGTGACCTGAAAATCATGCAGGATGTGTGTACATGTCCCTGGAGGAGAACATAGGAGAAGGGAATGCGTCATGGCCATCTCCTGGGGGATGATTTCTCACTTTCCCTCTCTCCGGTGAGAGCATGTACCCTATGGCAAAAACTGGCAACAACAACAGCAAAAGTCTTTATACTGTGAAGACTATCCTTCTAATGTTCTGAGTCATGGACTAGGTGTTCCCTGTGTTTTCATGCAGCAAATAGCAGTTTTGTAAAATGCCCCAGAGAGTGTGGGTTATGTTGCATGATGGGCCCAAGAGATCAGCTGTCCTCCCATTAATTCAAATGCCAGCACATTCGCAAGCATATTTCTGAAAAGGAGCTTGCATTTATAGGGCCAGCAAGTGGTATAGTCGTTAAGGTGCTGGATCCCACATGGTTAACCTGGGTTTGAGCCCTAGACCTGATGGCTTGAAAAATGACACCAGGTGCGTGTATGTGCATGCCCCAAATCCCAGGAGAATGGAAGAGGAGGAATTGTGGCATGCCTTTCCCTTCTGGGGGGAGGTGGTTTCTCACTTTCCCTTCTCACCATCTGTCTCTCTGATGAGTGCACGCACCATGACAAAAACATTTAAAAAAAAAAAAAGAATATGCATTTTATTTTTGTAAATGGTTAGAATTATGGTATACATTAGCAGATTGAAAAAGAAAAATCAAACAAATGAACCACGTTGCTAATAAGAAACTTGCCAGGAAGTGTATTCATGTACATGTATAGTATATGCTGTTAGGGAACCCTACTTCACAGATTAACTGTTGACAGTTACTAGTGGTTTGTTAAATGTCAAGTTTACTAGTGTTAAATGTCACGTTTCTTTGGAGAACAGGGTGGGAAATAAAAACTCAAAGTGTTTATTTTTAAAATTATTTAATTTTGTATATTCATTCATTTATTTTAATTTGACCAGAGAGAAACACACACACACACACACACACACAGAGGGAAAGCGAGAAAGCAAGCCACCAGGTCCATGACTCGAACCGTGGTCGGCCATGTGGGAGTGTCCAGCGCCTTAAATCATCACGCAACCTGCTGGTTCCTCCAAGTGTTTATTTCTATTGCAATTATAGATAATTGTTATTTTCTTCTTTCTACTAATCTTTATAATTCAATTCTTTTACAGGGAGCTTATTTTGCTTTTGTAAGAAAGTAGTTTTTAGCTTACGAAAGGACTGTATAATTGAGAATAATTTAGGTTTTGGTCTTCAAGCTTTACACTTTTTTTTTTGGAGAGGTTTTTTTTTTTGCTATAGGGTGCGTGCGCTCACCAGATAGACAGAGAGAGACAGAGAGACAGAAAGCAAGAAATCACCCCCCAGGGGAGATGGTCATGCTGCAGTCCCTTCTCCTCCATTCTCCTCTCGGGATCTTGGGCACGCACGCACACGTGCCCGGCGTGAGTTTTAAGCCACCGGGTCCGGGATGCGAACCGCGGTCGACTACGTGGGAGTCCAGCGACATAGCCATTACGCTAACTGCTGGTTCCCAAGCTTTACACTTTTTAGTGAATAATGCTTCAGGGTTTTTTCCCCCTCAGACTTTTATTTGATATTAGTAATGGTGAAAACCATTTGTTTCTTTTCAAGAAATCTCCCAGCAAAACCAGCTGAAGAAGCTCAGAAACATCGACAGCAATATGAGGAAATGGTGGTTCAGGCCAAGAAACGAGGTAATGGGATTTATGCACATTGGTAATATATGGCTGCACAGAATTGTGACTTTCGGGGTATTTTTTTAGAACCCTAGAACCTGTACTTTGTCAAACCCTTTAATATTTTGAAATTTGTAATTTTCCATCAAAAACAAATGTTGGTTCTATCCATTCTTGGTAGTGTTTTGTGATAGCAACAGTTTAAACTTACAAGAGCAAAAGAGGGCATATAGGGTGAAAATACTACATGAGAAGAAGCTTCAGCCAGTACTGCTGTGCAAATTTTTTCCCTCTCTGGATTGTTCTCTATTTATAAGAGGATTTAAGGAATTTGGTAAAATCCCTTGCAAAACCTAAAAATTACATGATTCTAGAATATTTAAGAGCTATATCTAATAAACAAAACATGGTGGGTACATACAAAGGGATATTTACTCAGCCTTAAAAAGGAAGGAAATTCCATTATTGCTGCAACACGATTGAACCTTGCCAATTGTCATGCTAAGAGAAACAAACCAAGTACCAAAGAACAAGTACTGTGTGATCCCACGGATATAAAGTCCCTAGAGGAGTCACATTCATGTAGACAGAGTAGAATGGAAGTTGCCGGGCCGAGGAGCAAGGGGGATGGGGAGTTAGTGTTTAACGGGGATAGAGTTTAAGTGGGGAAGATGAAGTCATGCTGCAGATGGAGAATGGAGAATGATGATAATTGCACAGCAGTATGAAGGTGTTTAATGCCCCCAACCTGGACACGTAATATAGTTAAAATGGGGGACCAGCAGTTGGCATTAATGGCTATATCGTTGGATTCCTACATAGTCAACTGTGGTTCGAGTCCCAGACCTGGTGGCTTAAACTCATGCCAGGCGCGTGTATGTGTGTGCCCAAAAGAGAGAATTGTGGCGTGGCCATCCCCCCAGGGGGGTGATTTCTTGCTTTCTGTCTCTCTGTCTCTGTCTCTCTCTCTCTCTCTGGCAAGCACATGTGCCCTATAGCAAAAAAGAAACCAAACTCCAAAAAATAGTTAAAATGGTAGATTTTATGTTATGTGTATTTTACCACAATGTAAAATTAACTCAATAACTGGTATTTCTCAGTGTTGCTGTTTATGTATTAAGCATAGTGCTTCAACTATTAGAAGTTAGTATAGCGATTACTTTTGAAAGAGGATGGGGAGGGTGGAGGACAAGGGGACCTTAGGCCCCCTTAGGTGTTTTGTTAATTTTTGTGTTGGTGTGTTGAATCTTATTCTTGTTTGTATACTTTTTGTTTGTTTTTATTTTTTTTGCTATTGGGCAAGTGCACTCATCAGAGAGAGATGGGTGGGTGGGCAGTGAGAAATCACCCCCAGGGGGTTGGTCCTGCTGCAGTCCCTTCTCCATTCTCCTCTCAGGATCACACTTGCCCAGTGTGATTTTCAAGCTGCTGAGTCTGAGATTCGAATCACACAGTTGGCCATGTGGAATCTAGTGCCTTATCCACCAAGCCACCTGCCAGCCCACCTTGTTTGTATGCTTTTCTGTATGCATGTTGTGCTAAGAAAGCTTACTAAGAATAAAAAGGTGGATAAAGCCAAAGCACTCTAAAGCCCATACTGTATGAAGTGAGCCTTGGGAGCTGTCGTTTACTCTATTTCACAGTCAAATTTGTGATGTTTTTGCAGTGTGACTCTCTGAGAAAAATCACCTAGTTTGAAAATGGTGGATTTCAGTTAATCTGTATTTTCTGCCTGTTTTATTTGTGCTTTCTAGAGCTGAAAGAAGCCCAGAGGAGGAAAAAACAGCTGGAAGAAAGATGCAGAGTAGAAGAAAGCATTGGAAACGCTGTTCTTACGTGGAATAATGAGATTTTACCCAACTGGGAAACCATGTAAGAACTGACACTGGGCACTGCAGAACCGCAGACCCTTGTTTTTATTGGGACATTGGAAAAGTCATGATGTGCATTTCCATGTTTTCCTGACTTTTCCAGTGGCCCAGTAGAGTCCATGGACAGAAGCTGTTGTTACCGTAGCTCATGGTAAAGCCTTCGATGTAGCGAGTTTCAGCTGTGTGGTGTCCCTTTCCTCTGCTGTTCCTTCCTGAGTACTGTGACAGCCCTTCCCTTCTGCCTTTCAGTTCATCTTCTACTCAGTACCTGAACCATCTTTGTAAGCGTGAGTTGCTTCCCTACTAGAAATTCCAGTGCTGCCCTGTGGCCCCCAGCATTGCTAAGACTTGCACGTGCGAGATGAGCTGCCCTCCGTGGCAGCCTCACCCTTGGTCTCTCTTCTAGTTGGATCGAGGCTTCTCCCTAGGAGCCACCTAAAGCTGCTTTAAGCTTCAGTCTTTGCACATTCCACCCTTGTGCCTAGAGTGCCATTGCCCTGGACGCCTCATCCAGCTAACTCCTGTTCTTTGATGCTTAGTTTCCCTCAACAGAGACTTTCCTGTTCCTTCCCTGGCTCCATTTGCCCGTAGACGTCTCCTTGGGTACACTTCAGCAGTCTGCTCAAGCCTCTGTCTAACTCTCTTTGAGAACAGAGAAAGGGCCTTCTTTGACCACCCCCAGTGTCCAGGACAGAGTGTACAACCACTGGAGTCTGGCAGCTGCTGTCGTCTTTACATCTGAGGGACAGCTGCCAGTCATATTTTGCTTCCTGCACATTCACAGTGTGTAGGAACTGGCTTGTAGGCAGTGGTCCACTGAGGCATGCTGGGAACCTGGATGCCCGCTTCTCTTCTATTTTGTCCCACATGCCAGAATGCAGGGACTCACTGGGAACTCCCCTGGGTGTCACTTACTCTCACTGTGGAGGTCAGACAGCCGAGTGGGGCTTTCACTATGTTCTGCTCGGACCCTGCTTTTCTGGGTGGCACCCTTGAAAGGCTTGACACTGCCTGGAGATATCTAACACCTTTTCTTTTCTTTTTAAAAGATTTTTGCCATAGAGTATGTGCACTCATTGAAGAGAGACAGAGAGAGAGAAAGTGAGAACACACCCCCTAGGACACATGGTCACACCATAGTCCCTTTCCCTTTCTCCTCTCGGGAGAGGGTATCTGTGATTTTTAAGCCACTGGTCTTGAACCATGGTTGGCCATGTGGGAATCCATTGCCTTAACCACCATGCAACTGGCTAGCCCCCTTACTGCCTTCTTAATTAGGACCAGTAACAAAAGCAGAGGTTCTCAGAACCTCCCCTGTCTTCCTGTAGGCAGCAGAGCCAGCACATCCTACACTGCCCTGCATCGGATTTGATCTGAGTACGCACAACCACTGCCTGGTGGTGCACACCGACTCCATGCCTGGTATTGGGCTGGTCATGACTTTTTTTTTTTTTTGAGAGGTTTTCGCTGTAGGGCGCATGTGCTCACCAGACAGACAGAGAGAGACATAGAGACAGAAAGCGAGAAATCACCCCCAGGGGGGATGGTCACGCCGCAATCCCTTCTCCTCCATTCTCCTCTCGGGATCTTGGGCACGCACACACACGCGCCCGGCGTGAGTTTTAAGCCACTGGGTCTGGGACGTGAACCGCGGTCAACTACGTGGGAGTCCAGCGACATAGCCATTAGGCTAACTGCTGGTTCCCATGACTTTTTTTTTTTTTTTTAAAGAGGTTTTTGCTATAGTGTGTGTGCACTCTCCAGAGAGACAGAGAGAGAGAAAGCAAGAAATCACCCCCCCAAGAGGGTATGGCCACGCCACAATCCCTTCTCCTCCACTTTCTTGGGATCTTGGGCACACACACACACACACATACACACATACACACATGTGCCTGGTGTGAGTTTAAGCCACTGTGTCTGGGATTCGAACTGCAGTCGGCTACATGGGAGTCCAGCGACGTAGCCATCAGGCCATCTGCTGGTCCCAGGCTGGTCACTCTTAGGCTTTGTCTTACTCCTCACAACAGCCCTTGGTGGAATAGCTTTCACTGTCTTGACTTCAGAGAGGATGAGACAGGTTCAGAGAGGTGGATTATCCACAGGCAATAGTGGATTCGGATGCATCCTGGTTTCTGTAGCCTCAGAAGCTCAGCTCCCCAGTGGGCTGTATTGATAACGCTGGGGGAGTCTGGCACCTGTACCTGTCGAGGCTTTTGGCAGCATGTGTTCATCGTGTCCGTCAGGCCGGAACGACTTTGCACAGAATGTTCTGAGTTAGCAGAGTCCTCCTTGCCCTTAGAGTCCGGCGGCACACCCCCGCACACTTCACCTGTGTGTGGCAGTGCGTGGTTGTCTGCTGTCTCTCTACGCTCGCCCCGTGAGGCCCCTTGGGGGTCTGCTGCTCCCTCCAGCTCTGCAGCATTGCTGCCTGCCCCTCTACCAGTACCCACTACTTGCAGTTTGGGGAGGAAAGCAGGTTATTTCTTGTTTCTGTGTTTTCTGCTCGGAAAATCCTTTCCCACCTTTGAGTGCTCAAACTGCTCTTGGTCGTTCAGGACTCAGCTCTGGAGTGGTGCTGTGGGCCTCTGGTGTGTGCGCTCCTTTCTGTGCTGTGCCCTTGGATACCAGTCACAGTCGGTGCCGGGCAGGAGGGGATCGTGTTTCCCGATCTCTATAGGACCCTAGATGTAGGCTCCCTGAGGGCAGGGTTGTGCCTCGTGCAGCTGCATCCCTCGCTCCCGCTGGTCTGGGGCGAGACACATGGGCAGCCAACCATCTCTCCATGAAGAACGAACTCATAAACTCGCACTTCCCTTCTGTCCAGGTGGTACTCTAGAAAAGCTCGCGACCTCTGGTGGCAGGGGATCCCTCCAAGTGTGAGAGGCAGAGTCTGGAGCCTAGCCATCGGCAACGAGCTGAACATCACCCATGGTGAGTGGTGTCTGATCCCGGGCTCAGAGAGCCATCCCTGAGTCCTGTGGCCGCTTCTGTCCCCTTTTGCCCTGTTGGGGCAATGGCAGCTATTGCTGTGAAGCTGTGTTCTCCGGAAAAGATGCCTGAGTTCTGTTCTAGGTGCCTCAGAGTAAACGCCCTGAGTAGAGGGAGTAGCAAAGCCAGGTCCCAAAGCATCGATGGATGAGTTACATTAGGGTCCCTTACCAAAAGTCCTGTCGGAGACAAACCTTGGTCATGAGATGAGACTGGAGGAAAGGTGGGTGGTTCTTCCTGTGAAGGCACTTCCTGTACTAGGGTTGCCTGTTGGTGTGAGGGACAACGTCCTGTGCTAGGATGCATCCTTGGGCTCCTCTCGCTCGGTTCTGGTGGAGATGAGGTCTGTGCTCTTGCAGCTGGAGGCCTTGCTGTGCTGCATGCTCAGGTAGCATGCGAGCCCCTCCATCAGCCTGGGTTCATGTGCCTGCCTGTGCGAGCGCTCTCTGGGGCTCTGTGCACGGAGGGAAGTCGGCACCAGGAGCTCTCAGACAAAGTAAGTGCTTAATAAGCCATGGTCGCTACTTGGCGTCTTTCCCTTCCTGTCTGCAGCCTCAGCTGTGGAGGCAGGAACACCTTCTTGCTCTTTCTGTTGGTGCCCAGTGTCTGCTCAGGAGTCAATGATGATGGTTTTCACTCTGGCGAAGGCCTTTGAGTCTGAAACAGACCAATTGGCAGCTCCCCTCTCTAGCCGGGGTTTCTTTCACTCTGCTTATGTGGACAGACTAGCTTGTCCTGTAAGCACAGCCTTGTCCCAAGCAGTGTCTCCGTCTTGAGTGTTGTCACCTGCTGGAGTAGATGGGGACTGGCTTCTGTGTGTGGAGGCCTCCTGGGGAGGGAGCGTTGGGAGAGTGAACCTCTGCAGAGCTCCTTTTTTGGCTAAATTTATACCTGCCCAACCTTTATGCAAGAAGATGTATAACATTTAACTTGCGGGCAGAGTGCTTTAAAAACATCCTCAGAAATTGGGGTTTGGCGAAATAATCATACCTGTATTTCAGTTCATGTTGTTGAAAATTTCTAAACTCTGTCAGCAACACTGTTTATGCGAATGGAATATAATACACAGTACTTGGTGTTTCATTTTGGTTCTCACTGATGCCTGAGTTGATTTTATTGAAATGAACTTTCCATAGAACATATCTGAGTAAATTGGACCAAGGAACTGGTCAATTACGTGTTTTGAACATTTGTCTAAACCTTGACATTGGTTGGTATGAATAGTGTCTGTCTTGTTTGGTTAGCGGCTTAATGTCAGTTGGCCCACCTAGAATGGGCACTCTGGAAGCGGGGCCTCCCCTGTCGTGTTCTCTGCTCTGACCCGGCGGCTGTCAGGACATACTCGTCCAGTGTACGAGTGCCACCTTACTGGTCTTCTTAGTCTCCGTCTGCTGCACCTCCGAGCCAGGAGGAAGAGCGCAGCAGAGCTGGTTTCTGGTGGCCGAGTGCCAGGCATCATGTCAGGTTCTGTATTCATTTACTATTCACAGCAGTCCTGTCGGGCAGGTCTTGTTGACCTGGTTTTCCTCTTGAGAAAGTTTAACATCCTAGAAAGGGCAGAGACTGTGCCCTAGGCCTCCTGGCCAGTGTGTGGAGACAGGATTTTCCTTCTAGCCGGGTTGATTCTGAAGCCCATGTTCTGACATGAGAAGACCCAGAGTTTTGCCGTTTTTGTGGTGGTTAAATTGGAAATTAACTCAAAGTCAACCTTAGGGTACTAGTAAAACTTTGCTCTTAAAAAGACCAGATTTATTGTTATTTTTATTTTATTTTTTTAAGAGGTTTTCGTTATAGGGCGTGTGTGCTCACCAGACAGACAGAGACATAGAGACAGAAAATGAGAAATCACCTTCAGGGGGGATGGTCACACCGCAATCCCTTCTCCTCCATTCTCCTCTCGGGATCTTGGGCACGCACGCACACGCGCCCAGCGTGAGTTCTAAGCCACTGGATCTGGGACACGAACCGTGGTCGACTACGTGGGAATCCAGCGACATAGCCATTACGCTAACTGCTGGTTCCCAAGACCAGATTTATTTTTTTGAAATTGGACTGGCTGTCTGGGAAGAAGGTGTGGCAGCTGTTAAATCCTCCTCCTCCCAACTACACACCAATAAAACCGTGGAGGAGATTTTAAAAACTCTGGCACTTTGACCTGTTTTACTCTGAGGCTGCCGGTATCTGTGCTTTAAGTGCCAAATCCCTCATGGGACCATGGCTCATGGTTTCCTAGCGGTCATACACAGTTGTTTTTGTCCATCTCCGGCTTAGCCCACCTCCTGGAAGCTGGTAGCAGGCCGAGGCCCTACCAGATGCTCTGGCTACCTCCACAGTGGTCCTGTGCATGCTGGAGTTGAGAGGTCACCTTCCGGACAGTGATACAGGAGATTATATGGCATCGCGTGTCCTCTTCTGCCATGGCAGACTAGCGTAGGTTGACATCAGAGCCTTCCTTCACAAGGCTAGAAGAAGGACATTAATCAAGACTTTACTTGTCAGATTATAGTAGTGGTACTAGGATTTGAGTTACCTTGTAAAAAAAGCATGCCCTGCCCAAAAGGCAGGTGTGTTCCGCTTACTACTCAAAGTAATAATGGGGGAGAAAAAGTTGTAAGAATTTGATGGTAGCTGCAGTGAAAGTCTCAGGAATCAGCTGGTGATCTTTAGTGACCGGGAACACCCGGAGGCTGAGACACATCAAGGGCGAGTAATTGGCCGTGCGAGGCCTGGCAGGGTGCGGGGGAGCAGGGCACTGAGAGAGCTCTGGTTCGTCCTCACAGTCCTTTCTAAAAGGAGAATGGGCCTGAGTATACCTGGGAAGTTCTGTGTATATTGTGAGATTAATGAGCACGAGTCGTTATTTCACTATTACCAAAGTGCTCAAAGAGAAGACCCGTTTAAAAAATCAGTTCTAAATATGGAGATTGGTAGACTCGTGATGGACATTGGTTGGTTTTGTATCTGCTCATCTTCTAAAACCTCTGCCTGTTCCTGAGCTCCCACTCTGGATCCACCTCCAGGCAGCAAGGCTAGGAAGCCTGTGCTATGTAAATAGCAGTTCCATCAGGTCCTTCTTTGAAACCAGGTGGGTTTTCTGCTTTCCTTCCCTCCCTCCCTCCGTCGGTAAGGTCTTCGTTGATTATACTACTGTAGGTCAGTTCTAGTGATGTTGTGTTCTGCTTAAAGAGGTAAGTGTGAGACCTTCACAGAGCGAGCTTATAATATCTAGTAGAGATGATAGACAAATTACAAACACATGAAAACAAAATAGTTTTGTAGGTGGGTTATGTAATAGACATAAACACCAAGCATAGCAGTATCATGTGTATTCTTTCTATGTGTGTGGCTATGTCTTTAAACACTAAAAATGTTTTTAGGCCAGGTCGGGGGAACTATTTAAATAGCCTATTGTATGTGTATTCAGCCTATGGTAGTTGAAATTCCGTATTTGAAGGAAATCGTACTGTGCTCTCTGTTTTGTCTGAAGAAGAGTACTCGCGTAAGACTTACCAGAAGATTTTTTTTCCAGAGCTCTTTGACATCTGTCTTGCCCGAGCCAAGGAGAGGTGGCGGTCCTTCAGCACAGGAGGCTCTGAAGTGGAAAATGAAGGTACACATCATTCCAGAACTAGTGACCTGCTTTGGTCAATTGTATATATCATGCTTTCCTATGAACAGAGGGAGTTTTCTTAACTGCAGTAGTGGTCGATGCAGATTTATAAAAAAATTCACAATAAAAAGGTTTTTTTTTTTTTTTTTTTTACAAAAATTAGAAGGAAAAAACCTTCATAAGAAATAGAACATAATGGGCCAGCAGGTGATGTGGTGGTTAAGATGATAAAAAACCACACCTGGTGCATGTGCATGCATGCCCAAAATTCCTAGAAGTAATAGAGGAGAAGGGATTATAGTGTGGCTGTGCCCCCAGGGGGTGATTTCTCACTTTCCCTGTTTCTCGTTTGCCCGATGGCAAAAAAGATAATCCAAAAAATAACAAGAAAAAATTACAACACACTAGTTCCTGAGAGGTGTTTTCGTTTTACTATGCTGAAGGGCTGGTCGAAACCAATATAATTTCCTTTAAAGTTGTTCACGCAATGTACAACAGCCTGGTGCCCGAAATTATTATTTTTAAGTCATGACGTATTTTTCTATGTTTTTCTTCTTTTTTTAAAACTATTTATTTAATTACATTTGTTATTATTAGTTTTTATTTTGACTAGAAAGAGATAATGAAAGAAAGGGAAGGCGAGAAAGCAAGCCACCAGATCTGGGACTCGAACCACCATTGGCCATGTGGGAATCTAGCACCTTTCACCACCACACCACCTGTCGGCCCCTATGCAAAAATATGTCATGACTTTCCTGATGACTCAATAACTGAGTATTGGTTTACAGATGAGCATTAGAACTAACGAAGAGATAAGAATTCATCTGTCTGCTGGATTCTGCTTTTACACTTTCCCATGACACATAAGAGTGATTTTTTTTTTTTTCCTATTAGGTTTGTTTATTTCATGAGCAAGCGAGACAGCAGTAGACAGACAGGCACTCCTAATAGAACCTTGGCACCCCAGTCATTCCCAAACAGCCCTAGATCACGGACTTACGTGTGCATGCCCAGCATTCTCAGGGAGGGCCACGGGTGCAGATTTGGAGCTTTCCCATGTAGGTTAGCTTCATGGATTATTGTGTTTTACTGCTGCAACACCATCTGGCCCATTTTTTATGATTTTTAAAAATACTGTCTGTATGAAAATTTTTAAAAAGTTATTTATGCATATCTGTTAGAGATATTATACATAAATTTATACTGAAATACCTTCTACATATATGAAGTTTATACCGGTGATGCTTAACGTCAGATGAGTTTTTTGCATGTATTCCTGGAGTTCCTTTTTGTACATACTGCTGTTGTCATTACTTTGCACTGATTATAGTTAGTGAAGGGCAATGGCAAATTAGATTTTGACTTCAGACTCCAGAAAACGGTTCATGATCTGGTATTAGCTGGTGCCATAAGATTCTTTGCTCTGTTGGGACCAGCAGATGGTGTAATGGTTACGTTGCCGAACTCCCACATAGTCAAAAGTGGTTTGAGTCCCAGACTTGGTAGCTTAAAAACAAACAAAAAAACCCAAACAAGCAAAAACTCACACCACGTGCCTGTGTGCCCAAAATCTCAAGAGGAAAATGGAGGAGAATGGATTTGGCCATGGCCATACTCCGCCCCGCCCCAGGGGGGATTTCTTACTTTCTGTCTTTCCAGCGAGCGCACATGCCCTATCTGTCGGCCCCTATGCAAAAATATGTCATGACTTTCCTGATGACTCAATAACTGAGTATTGGTTTACAGATGAGCATTAGAACTAACGAAGAGATAAGAATTCATCTGTCTGCTGGATTCTGCTTTTACACTTTCCCATGACACATAAGAGTGATTTTTTTTTTTTTCCTATTAGGTTTGTTTATTTCATGAGCAAGCGAGACAGCAGTAGACAGACAGGCACTCCTAATAGAACCTTGGCACCCCAGTCATTCCCAAACAGCCCTAGATCACGGACTTACGTGTGCATGCCCAGCATTCTCAGGGAGGGCCACGGGTGCAGATTTGGAGCTTTCCCATGTAGGTTAGCTTCATGGATTATTGTGTTTTACTGCTGCAACACCATCTGGCCCATTTTTTATGATTTTTAAAAATACTGTCTGTATGAAAATTTTTAAAAAGTTATTTATGCATATCTGTTAGAGATATTATACATAAATTTATACTGAAATACCTTCTACATATATGAAGTTTATACCGGTGATGCTTAACGTCAGATGAGTTTTTTGCATGTATTCCTGGAGTTCCTTTTTGTACATACTGCTGTTGTCATTACTTTGCACTGATTATAGTTAGTGAAGGGCAATGGCAAATTAGATTTTGACTTCAGACTCCAGAAAACGGTTCATGATCTGGTATTAGCTGGTGCCATAAGATTCTTTGCTCTGTTGGGACCAGCAGATGGTGTAATGGTTACGTTGCCGAACTCCCACATAGTCAAAAGTGGTTTGAGTCCCAGACTTGGTAGCTTAAAAACAAACAAAAAAACCCAAACAAGCAAAAACTCACACCACGTGCCTGTGTGCCCAAAATCTCAAGAGGAAAATGGAGGAGAATGGATTTGGCCATGGCCATACTCCGCCCCGCCCCAGGGGGGATTTCTTACTTTCTGTCTTTCCAGCGAGCGCACATGCCCTATAGCAAAAATCTCTTCAAAAATAAAAAAAGAATCTTTGTTCTATAGACTGTTTGATTGCTCTGCAGAAATTGTAAATAGGCCAGCGCTCTCCGAAGACCTTTCCTTGCTTCATCTTACAGTACATCAAAGCCTCTTAACTATTCCACACTCATGCCTCTGAGGAGTGTAATGGCTCTTAATCTTTTGACAGATGCTGGTTTTTCAGCAGCAGACAGAGAAGCCAGTCTGGAGCTTATTAAACTGGACATTTCTAGAACTTTTCCTAACCTCTGCATTTTCCAGCAAGTAAGTGATCTATTGCTTTCAGGTATGCTTTGTCTAAGATTCATGGAGATGCCAAACTGCATATATTAATATTGGTAATCAAGCTTTAAAAGTACTACGGTTTTTTTGGCAGGGTGACGGGTAGGACACATCTTGCTGTTAACACATTTAGACTTTTAAAAGTAAGTGTACTTGACTCTTTATAACATGTAATGTGGCCCTCCTTCCGCATTTAAAGGAGGTTCTGTCCCTCTTTCAAACTGCGGGCGTCGAGCCCTTGCAGGCCGGGCAGAGAAGGGCTCTGTGGGGCCACATCTGCCAGAGCTTTACTAGCTGCTCCTGTTTCTAGGACCATACCCAGCAGGGCCGTTGCAGTGTGACTGCCTTTGACTCAGATGAGCCCAGTGCAGCGAGCCTGAGAGACAAAAGGAAATCTTTGGCAGCCTTGATAAAGCCACAGTGGTTGGCTGAGCAGAGATGGTGGTATCCCTGAGCAGGTAGCCAAGAAGATGGTGACGCCACTGGGAAGAGAAGCCATGGTGCAGGACTGGAGGGAGTGCTCTCTTCAGTGGCAGTCCGAGCAGAGTGGAGCCCCCTGTGGGTACATTGGAGCACAGGACAGGGCTGCCAGCTGCAGGCTTTGGAGTCTCCTGAGCAGAACTGTTGGAAGACTGATTTTCAAGCCCCAGACATTTATCCAGGGGTCTCATTTAAAGCCTCCCTTACGCAGTATGTCCTGGTTTTGCCTGTCTTTCGGAATATCTTTGCATCCATCCCTTCTCTGCTCTCACTGCCTGTACTTAGTTCAGATTTCCGTGTTTGTGGGTCACTGCACCAGCCTTCCCCAGTCCCTCCTGGCCCCTCCACTCCCTTCCACGTGTCTCATTTCCTGCATCACGATCAAGTTTCTAGCATCATGTCTTGCAGACATTAGGTAACCAATAAAGGATAATGGAGTAAGAGTAGCCTGGCTCAGTGGCACTAGAGTGAGCATGTCTGGAGACGTAGAGGTCAGAGAGCCCTGGCAGGGATGCGGTTGTGCCCAGGCACCCTGACACGTCAGGTCCTGCTGCTACTGCGATGGCAGGGATGGGGCAGATCAGAGCTGGAGAGAGGGCATCACAGAGGGGGAAGTGGCTCTCGGGCTGTGCAGATTGGGAAAGGCATTCCAGGCCAAAGCAGAACTAGAATGGAAAACTGGACATCTCAGCGAATCCCCAGTTCCTTTGGCGAGAGAGGGCGTTACAAAGGGAGTGGACAGGGAGGACATAGCTGAGTGCAGTGCCCTGCTCACCTGCTGCTCCGGTTTGAGCTGGGAGCCAGCTGCGGGGCTTGGAGGGATGGAAATGAGTGAGACTGCCCTGTTCTAGAGGAGAGAGAGTGGTCAGGGAGAGCTCTGAGGCCCATCAGCGGGGTAGCTGAGAAGGGAGGTCAGACACTGGGGCAGTGTCCAGTTTGGACTGCGCAGCATTGACGCTGGATACTGTAAGTGCTCTGGAAGGAGAAGACCAAGAAGAGGCTTTGGTTTCCAGGGCTAGGGAGTTTTTGCCCTTTCGCAGTAACTCACAAACCAAGGGCTGCAGGAGCCTGGGTTCCCAGGGTCCCACAGTGTAGGGCACCATGTCCTCCAGCTGGGTATAGTAGTATCCTGGTTCTGCAGGCCCGCCCTGCTCAAGACGCCCGTCTCCTCTCTGCTCCAGCTGCTCCCCATGCCTGGAGTGGAGCTGTGATTGTGCTGCCATGCCGTGGATGGAGCCGGCCGAGTGGGAACTCACTGGGACCTGCTGGGGTGCTCATCGTCCCTCACTTTCCGGTCTCTAAATGTAGTCAGAAATGCTCCCCTTTGGCTCTTCAGAAATCTTAGCAGAAGAAGAAAAAGAAGAAAGGGAGATGGAATCTACAGAGCTACCAGAAGGCTTGGTCTTGGTGTCTGGCTCAGAAACACGGTGGCAGGCAGCCCTTCCGAGCTCTCTGAGAGCAGCTCCTGGTTCTTCTGCTGGGAGGGGAAAGACTTTCCCTTCTGGTGGCCCGAGGCCCTTGGCCTCCCTCCATGACTGTAGGCTCTGGAGGGGCTTCAGGAGACTCTGCTTTGGAGGAAGTATTTTTACCTTTGATTTCCAACAGATTTGGGTGTGAATCCTAGACTGCCTTCTTCACGACGTTATGGCTTTGGGCAACTCACTTCATTTCTTTAAGCCTTAGTTTGTTCCCTTATAGCAGGGAGTAATCATTCCTGCCTGCCAGCGTTGTTGACAGGACCTGACGCATAACAGGCATTCTGCCAGTGCTAGTTATTGTTAAAATGTGAAACTAAAAGACAAAGGTTAAAGAGCCACTTCATGGCGAGCTGTCATAGAAGTGGGAATGCAGTAGATAGAGTGGCTGGCATCCGTGGAGGGAGTTTGTGCTCCTGATCTTTTAACCCAGGTGGGGATCTGTGCCCTGGTTAGCGCAGTGGACCAAATGGCGGTGCTGTGCTGAAACGTGATGCTCTGCAAGGCTGGCCTACATGGGGAGGATTCAGGTTTGCGTCCAGAGACTTTCCTGGGTGTGCCTGGCCTGCGTGTGCTCATGTCCCAGCTGGCCGAAGGTGGGCTCAATCATTGTGCAAAGACCCTGCCGGGAACGCTGTCTGTCTCTGTCTCTTGCACATGGGGGTTTTCCCCCCACTTAAACAAAATAGCTTAGTAATCTTTCTAATTAGCAAAGAATGAACATGCTGAAAAGAAATGGTAAACTCTGGAAAGACTGGCCTGAAGGAAGGGGAGCAAATATTGAATAGAACCTGCGGCCACAGCTGGACCCATTCCCAAAGCCAATCTCAGTATTAGTATCTGTGGTCCGAGAGGCCCAAGAATCCACATGATCTTCATGAACCAGTCCCCGAGCCTTCGGGTGCACGAAAACCATAGAGAAGTGAGGCCCGGCTTTTACCAGCCTTGGAATCCCAGAAGGTTCCTTCTAGGGCATCTCTTAAAGTCTCAGCTTCAGATACGTTAAGTTTGAGGGTCACTGGTGATTATCCGGGTACAGAAAGATGTGTTCCGTAAAAATGAGGGGAGCATGAGCTTTGGGGATCTGTCTTGGGTCAGGAGGGACAGATGGCAGTGAGGTTGCCCTTTTTCCCCCTCTTGTTCCTTTCCGGGCATCTCAGTCTCTGGTGCCCAAAGTTCTGGATCTCATTAATAAGTCACATTAAAAAATTAAAGGACAGTGGGAAGGAAGAGCGCGGGGAAACTGAGATGTCCAGAACACACTCAGTGCATTTAAAATAAAGAGCTGCCCTCTTCTCACTCAAAAAATGACAGCTCCAAAGTGAGAAGGATATAATTACAATGGCAGAAAATCTTTTTAGTTAAAACATTTAATTTTAGTAAAAGATCAGTATAATGCTTACATTTTTTTCATTTGGCCTTGAGCTGGATGGAGCTTCATTACAGTCAGGCTAGTCCTGAGGTGGCGTTTGGTGCTGCCACTCCCCTGAGCCCCAGACATCCTCTTATTTCACCTTCTCATTGCCGTCTCTTCTGTGTCTCCCCCGTGATTTGGAGGTATCTCTTCTTTCACTTTTTTATGTGTCAGATTGTGATGGTCTGGGTCATGACATTCTTTGTAGGCCACCTGTGTAACCTCCTAGTCACCGGCTCTGTGTAATTTTTACTCCTTTTGTTAACTGTGGACACATGGTAGACAAGGAAATGAGGTGTCTGATGTAGACCGATATGGTCCTTTTACAATGTCTTCTAGTGTCATGTGAGGCATCAATTAGAAAAAAACATTCCAACACTTACAATTTGGGGAATCAGTAGGGACAGTAAGTGGCATCGGTGGTTAAGGTGCTGGATTCCCACATGGCTGGCCATGGTTCAAGTCCCAGACCTGGTGGCTTAAAAATCACAACAAATCTGGAGGGATGGGACCAGCAGTTACCATAATGGCTATGTCGCTGGACTCCCATGTAGTCGACCAGGGTTTGCATTCTGGGCCCAGTGGCTTAAAACTCGCGCCGGGCATGTGCACGTGCGTGCCCAAGATCCCGAGAGGAGAATGGAGGAGAAAGGATTGCAGCATGGCCATCCCCCCTGGGGGGTGATTTCTCACTTTCTGTCTCTCTATCTGTCTCTATGTCTGTCTGGCAAGCGCACGCACCCTATAGCAAAATAATAAAAATCGCAACAAATAAACAGATAGATAAATAGATAGATAGATAGATAAATAAATAACAAATTTTTGGAAGCAGTTATAAGTACATGAAAATCTGGAGGGATGGGACCAGCAGTTAGTGTAATGGCTATGTCTCTGGACTCCCATGTAGTCGACTGTGATTCGAGTCCTGAATCTGGTGGTTTAAACTCACGCCAGGTGTGTGTGTGTGTACGTGCCCAAGATCCTGAGAGGAGAATGGAGGAGAGGGTATTGCAGCGTGGCCATCCCATCCCCACCTGGGGGGTGATTTCTTGCTTTTTGTCTCTCTGTCTCTGTCTTCCTGGCGAGTGCATGCGCCCTATAGCAAAAAAAAACTCTCAAAAAAGAAAAAAAATCTGGAGGGATGAGAGAGCAGAGAGAATGTTTAAAATGACTTCATACTTAGAGTATATTCCCTGATCGTGCCACACAGAAAAACACAAGAGAAACGAGGAGAACAATTGGCAGGGGGAAGGGAGGCAGAAGGACAGCTAGGGTGAGGGCATGGTTAGGAGGCAGTGTCCAGATGACAGAGAACAGTCACCTGCTGTGCAGACCCCCAGGTTCCTTCTCCAGACCTGCTGACCGTTGAAGGGGGAGCACAGACGCACAGGAACCAAGTTAGGGTGTCTTCCCAGCGGTGCTCATGCCTGACACACCAGCTGTTTTCAAAGCAGCTTCATAGATTGCACTTCCGACTTCCATGTTAGCTGTGAAGTGGTCGTTGATTTATGAAATGACTTAATGCATACAGAGCTGCTAACAGCACTTAGCAAATACTCCCCCTTTAGGAACAGTAGATGTGGTAGCGGTGACAGCAGGAGCAGTGTGGCGAATGTTACCCTGAGCACTAACAGCACTTACGCGCGTGTTGATTTTGGTTTGTCTTTCCAGGGCGGGCCGTATCATGACATGCTGCACAGTATTTTGGGCGCTTATACTTGTTACCGACCGGATGTGGGTTATGTAAGTGAAATTTCTCAGTATTTTATAATGTTATCATTTAAAAAGAAAGTTCAGATATTGTCAGCACCTCTTAGCTCCAGATGTCAAGTTGACTGCTTTTGTTGTTATTGTTGTTGTTGAGAAGTATGAAAAGTCTCATGGTAAATGAATCGACTCTGTTTTCTCTCTCTTTTTTTTTTTTTTTAATTTGACCAAAGAGAGAGAGAGAAAGCCACCAAGTCTAAGACTCAAACTGTTGTTGGCTGTGTGGGAGTCCAGTGCCTTAACCACCACGCCACCTGCTGGCTTTCCTCTGCGCCTCTCCCCAAACCCCCCACCACCCCCACATTTTTTAATTTACCAGAGAGAGAAAGAATCTGTTTTCTCTTTTTTTTCTGTTCCTTTTTGTCTTTTTGAGATTGTGTTTCCTCTGAATGAAACTGAGCTGACATGACTCTTCTGTGGCATTAATTACATTCTAACTGGATGTGATTTTCATTTTTTGCATATCATTTTTTCCCCATCATTAAATTAAAAAAAAACCTTTCTCAGTAACCATTAAAAAATGATTGCCGATATTGGTTGCTGATATTTCTGTGGCTTAGCAGATGTGTGTGCACGTGGTTTTACATGAAGACATTGTCAGATATACACACCTGCAGCCCTGGAACATGTTATGTACAGAGGGCAGAGTTTCAGTGCAGAATGCCTGAAGAGGGCTGATTTGTGGTTTTCCATGTTGGGGGTGTCGGGAAGGGGAGCGTATTGGGCCAGAACTGAGGGGGCTTGGGTGGGTGGTGATGGGTGGTGGCTGTGTGGATCCCTCTATTAAAAGCACGAGGGTGCCTAGTTCCTTCCGAGTAAAGCAGAAGAGCTGCTCTGACCTTGGCGCTGCTGCGTTTTAATGACCCTTTCTCT